CTCTTTTAAAGGTCTGTCCCAAAGTGAGGACCAGACAAAACGTCCTCACTCCCAAGGTCTCAAACTCTAATTGGTCCTGACAATTATAATTACAGACACACAGAACGGGAGAAAGTCAATAATTATTTCAATAATCTTCAGGCTGCTCTTGTTTCAGCATGTTTGGAGATTAAAATGTGTCTGTGGACGAACTGAACCTGGAAACTGTGGTCATGTTTGTCCTCAAACGTAACATAAAACCATGAAACATTAAATACAAACATTGTAATGGTAAAAAAAATCCATCCTCTGTCCTTTCCTAAACACTTTTCCTTGACTTTGATGGAAAACGTCATGAGGTCAAGGAAAGATGTGAAGGAGAATTCATAAAAGACAACCGCGGTGCTCAGAGAACCAGGCTGCACTTACACCAGCTTCTTTTTAACCAACTTTATTTATAACACGCGGAAGATGAGTACAGTGACAAACTCAATGCTGCTCACTTCAAAAGGTTTCCTGTCCAACACAGAATCACACCTCCTAAGAAAGGATGTTTCATTTGGTACATTTAACCATCAGTTAGGCTGCTCATAGGAAGTAACAACAACATAGATACTGCTGAAAAAACAAAAGGATTAAAATGCTGACACAATATAATAACAAAATCAATATACAAGTAGAGAAAGTTGAGTGAATTATACTCAAACATAAATATAGAGTTTCCGGGATGGGTGCTTTTGATATTTTTATACATTTGTTAAATAGATGCTCTGTTGTTCTACAGGTGCATCTCAGTTTTTAAATTCATAATTATAATTAAAGTTATAAATATAAATATAAAAATTGACCTGAGAATCAATTCAAAACACCTGCAAAGTTTCCTGATCCTTTAATCTCTCAGTCTGGTTCAGTTCAAATAAACTTTTTTAAGATATTGTAATTTTTTTAGATGCTCCTGTACATTTATGGGTGTCTATCGTGGTGAAACTAATGGTGAGTCGCTCTAAAGGCTGCTGTTGCAAGGAATTGTGGGAAAGCATTATCTCCTTTCCTTTCATAAAGAACTGTCCAGTGTAGCCTTTGCTAAAGGAGCTAAGAAAGGAAGCATTTAACAGCCTTACTTACATTTAGCATTGTCACAAAAAGTTCACACTGTATTTGTGTCAATGACCCGTTTCACCACATGAAAGGAAGACAAAGAAGAAGAAGGTGTGAAGAGCTCTGGAGGTGTTAAACCTCTACAGAAATATAGATGTTAAAATGACTGCATATCAAACAATAACAGCTGATACAGAAATAACAGTAAAAACTAATACATGTTTAACTACAACACAGCACTAGCACATTAAAGTGCCTGACAGCAAGTTCATCAAGCTAAATGTCCCATATTATCATAAAATAATTCAAATATAAAACATTTATCAGTTCTCAGTGTAAATTACCTGTAATGATATGAGCTGTAACTACACTGTGGTCTCTTATTTGTTTGGTTTGTTGACGGTGGCGTAGAGGTCGCTGGGATCAGCTGAGGCTCCAGCAGAAGAAGAGGAAGCTTTCACGCTGCTGTAGGTCACTGTGTTGTTGTCAGGTAGTCTCTGGTTACCAGGTAAATAAATCACAGAGAAATATTTATAAAAATAAATTAATAAAACAGTAAGCGTGTGTGTTTAAAAAAATGTATATATATATATATAAAATTAAATTAAAATAAAATAAATAAATAAAACGGTAAGCGTGTGTGTGTGTTAAAAATAAAAAAATATTAAAAATAAAATAAATAAATGAAACAGTAACGTCTGTGTTTTTCATTCTCCCATCACACCAGTTCTGCAACCTCAGTACCAGACAAGCACTTTAAGAGGAAGAACAGGGAAACAAACAAAGAGAGTAGAGGAAGACATGTTGTTGTTGAAAAGAATCTAAATAAGTTAATTTTCAGCAAGGATCCCTGACTTTCTTCATTTTATGTTGTAACCAATGCTTTGTTCCCGACACTTTCTGACACTTCCTTTAGAAATGATATGTTAAGTTCCTCTCATCTGATGTGATTCCTAGGAAATGCTAACCTTAAGGTTTAACTACTGACAATTGTTTTCCTTTTTATCAAATGCTTAAAACTAAGAACAGTATACCCGTTTGACAATTAAGGTCTGATTGTGGGAAGATATTTGATTACAATACGCGCAAATAGATTTTAGAATAGACATATTAAAAGACTCTCAGGAAACCGGAAACGAGCCCTCAGGGGAACAAAGGACTGCCCCTCTGGGAACCACGCCCCAACAAACAAAAGCAGCGACGCTCTCTTGGCCTCTTCGCTCTTCCCGTGCACTTCGGCATGCGCACAGCGTGCCCCGTCTCCCAGCACGCCCTAAGAAGTTCGGCCCGGCTTGCAGCGAAAGCTCTTTGTTCGTTTCAAGCCACACACGCGAAGCGCGCAACCTCGGCTTTTCCCTCGTTTCCAGCAACTTACTAACTTTTTTTATTTCTTTTGTTTGTTAAAAGTTATCAGACCGTTAAGTTACACAATTTTAATTAAAGAACGACCAAGTTCTTTTAAGTTATTCCGTCGAGCTACCTTACACTGCTCCCACCGAAGCCCGGACCCAGCCACGTGGGCCCGCCTTGCCAGCAGTAACCCAAAGGACATCCAAACCAGAACAGCTTAACTGCCAGGCCGAGGACGGTCAACACTGGACTGTTTTTCTTCATTCAGACACGGAGAACCTCCGGAAAATTCCCTAGCAGAGAGCCAGGAATCGGGCAGCTAGCGTGGGGACCCGTGCAACAGGCCAAGACAGGCCAGCAACACACAGTAAGGCAAACCAAGGCATTCTGTGATCAGTGATGTCCAATAGTCTGCTGATCCATTATCTTTAGTCCTTAAACTCATAGCCAAATTTAACTGAGTATCATCAACTGCTTTCATTAGTTCTCTTTCTCCCTATGAATCAAATTCTTCCCCAAATTCTTGATCAGCAATAAGAGATGCAGCCAACAGTAAAGATGTCAGAGGTCAGAGGTCACAGCAGCCTGACAAAGATCCACCATCTACAAACACATACGACAAAGTCACTGATCACGAGACAAAGGAATATGTTTCTGCACTGAGCCAAACTAACACTGAAACAAACAAACTATATTAAGGCTCAAGTTCACAGTTTGTTCAGTCCGGTGTATTTGTGACAATGACGAGTTTCATCTCCTTAAAAGAAGAAGAAGAGGAAGTTGACGTGTGAAGATTGTTGGTTAAGATAAATGTTGTTTTCTTCAGAACGTGTCACCCAGTGCAGCAGTGAAGGTCACTGACTGGTTTTAATAGTACTTTTCGTGGGATTTGTTGAAAATAATAAAAATATGCAATCATCAGATTGTTCCTTTAATCAGTCAGGTGTCATTCTTCACTGTATAAAGTTGTTTTCCTGAGCTAAATGTGTCACTTTACTTAAAGCAAACAATTATGTGTTATAAGTTCTTATAATTAGTTCATATGGTATCATGTCCACCTGTAATATATTATACAGGGATAGATATTTTAACACTTAAAGCAAACAAAGACACGCTATATAACATTAAACATTACTATAAGTTATTATTCCATTTTATATCACTAAGTCTAAATGGTGACTAAAGTGTATTCATAAGGAGGCAGAGTCGGTGGTTATAATGTGTTATGGAACATGGTCGGAGATTGTTAAACTGCTGTTACTATTAGTTATAAAACATTAAATCAGAAGGTCATAATACATTATGAACTTTGCTATAGCGCCTAATGCGTTTGTAAGTGATTATAACAACTATTATAATGTCTTATGGATGCATTATATCGTGTTTAAATATATGCATAAGTCATTATAGCGATGACCTTCATAGAAAGTGATACAGTTCAGTGTTTAAGTTTTAGTTACATCTAGTGGGTAACTAAAACTCAGATGGTCATTCTTCTGACTTCAGGTGTGTTCATGTGCTCTTAAGTCTGAATGTGGAATCAACAAATCTCATTTACACTGGAGACATGTGTCCCCACCACATTTTGAAATGGCTGATGTTGTTCTGAAAAATAGCTTGCACCAAGAAATGTGAACTAACAATAAAAATGCTTTGAGAAACGTTTATTTGCAATTTAAATATAGAAAAAACAAACGTGCATTGTCCAAAAATTGCAGCTAATACTGCATCATATTCTGTTATTTATTTATACATTTACACCTTTAATTTCTTTTATACTATTACAGCAGTGGTTTTAACTTTTATTACAGTTTTATGCACAGCTCCTCTTCAGTTTATCTTTGATTTAATTAATTTAAATGGTCGGGGGGGCAGACGCCGTCACTATGAAGTTTTGGTAAAAGCTGAAATGGAAGCGCAGAGAAGTGTGTAACACTCTGTCTCCTTAAGGGGGCGTTCAAGTTGGAATTTACGACTGGAAACTGGGAAAATCCAACTTCATGTGTCAAATGCAGCATTATTACCTGCTGTTCTGACTCTGCCTGCCTGGATCAAGTAAAACTGAACTTGGTCTTTATATTTCCTGTCTCTGACTCGTAGGAACGGCTTCACCACTGCCAGTTTCCTCTGAAACATGACAGTTAGAATAAACTATATTTAGATTCACACTGAGCCTCAAGTTCACACTTTTTATTTGTGTCAATGACCCGTTTCACCACATGAAAGGAAGACGAAGAAGAAGAAGGTGCGAAGAGCTCTGGAGGTGTTAAACCTCTACAGAAATATAGGTGTTAAAATGACTGCATTTCAAACAATAAAGCTGATACAGAAATAACAGTAAAAACTAATACATGTTTAACTACAACACAGCACTAGCACATTAAAGTGCCTGACAGCAAGTTCATCAAGCTAAATGTCCCATATATTATCATAAAATAATTCAAATAATAAAACATTTATCAGTTCTCAGTGTAAATTACCTGTAATGATATGAGCTGTAACTACACTGTGGTCTCTTATTTGTTTGGTTTGTTGACGGTGGCGTAGAGGTCGCTGGGATCAGCTGAGGCTCCAGCAGAAGAAGAGGAAGCTTTCACGCTGCTGTAGGTCACTGTGTTGTTGTCAGGTAGTCTCTGGTTACCAGGTAAATAAATCACAGAGAAATATTTCAGCTCTAAACTTACAGGTTATGTTAATCAGTGTGAACAAATGTTGGTCTGAATGTTCTCACCTCGAGCTCTGATGAGAAGAACAGTAATCACAGTAATTAGGAGGAGTTCAGCCACACGCATAACCAACATTATGTAGTCCAGAGCAGAACAATCTGCACGAGCTGTAGAACAGAAAAAAATCAACAAGAACTAAATGAAACACTTAAAAGTTAGATTCATATGTTTATTATGTGGAGAGAAAGAGGCTGACAGGAAGACAGAGAGACTCCAGAGAAAGATGAGTTACTACCTTGTAGTTTTGTTGAAGTATCGTTGGTTGGAAGACAAAACACTGATCAGTCCTGGCTAAATAAGCTCTGAAGAGAGCTGCACAGGTGCAGCCCAATCAGCCTCCCTGCCTGCAGCCTCCTGCAGGAGAAGGAAGGGGTCGTAACATCCCCCCCTTAAGAACAAGGTTCTTCTAAGAACCTTGAATTTGGCATAGAGCAGTTAGCAGTACAATATACACTCATAACCATTCATGTTACAATATAATCAAGCTGATCCATAATTTATCAACACATTACCCATGTGCCATACTTTACTAATCAAGCTGCATTTAATTCAAATTCAATTCAAATTAGCTTTATTGGCATGAATGTGTAACAACAATATTGCCAAAGCATCATACATACAACATAAGAACAATCAACCCCATACATTTCATTAAACAAGTAATTAAAGCGTAAAGCAATCAAAGCGTATATGTGTGTTAAAAAAATGAAGAATTAAAAATTTTAATAAAATAAATAAATAAAACGGTAAGCTTGTGTGTGTGTGTGTGTGTGTGTGTGTGTGTGTGTGTGTGTGTGTGTGTGTGTGTGTGTGTGTGTGTGTGTGTGTGTGTGTGTGTGTGTGTGTTAAAAAAATAATATATAAAATATAAATTAAATAAATGAAACAAGCACTTTAAGAGGAAGAACAGGGAAACAAACAAAGAGAGTAGAGGAATAGGAAAAGAAACACATGGCATTAAAATGGCGTATGTCTAAATTGTATGGTTGAAGAAACAGCCTGTCTACTTTCAACACGGGGCATCATTCTTCCAATGACCGTTGGCACGACAATATCGGCAGGTGTCAGTTTTAAATGATGCACTACGCCCTCCATTACAGATAAAACCCTGGGCTACCTGAGCAGAAGACTCCCCCTATACCCATGCTAACTTCAACAATGACTATCTAGCCAACTCCCCCCTAGTCTTCGTGCAGCTAATTGTGGAGGGTACTTATGCACTCGAAACCAGTGGGGTGAAAAAGGGCAACCAGAAAGCCAGTGACCCCGTCACAGCCGCGGAGGTGCTCCCGAGCAAAGCTCTACCCACGTTCACCGCCACCTAAACCACCACACCACGAAGGGAAATCGCTGTTAAGCCTAACAGGGGAAAGTTCTCCTGCTCACACTAGAAAACCCAGCTAAGGTCCAACAAAACAAATTCAGCCAGCAGAGCTAAACCACTGACAAAAGGACCATGAACCTCTCTCCTACGGAGCTTTAACTGACCTAACCAAACCTGACATTTACCTCACAGACTGGTAAACAAATACCAAAATAGCTGGATGCTACACAAAACAAGCCGATCAACACCAAATAACAACAAGTTCCAGACGAGCCCCCACTTGTCACAAGCCAGCTCTTAGCCCGTGACAAAAAGGAGGTGAGACACAACAGGTTTGCACGCAAATGGTAGGATTTATAATAAAAGTAAAAGAAGGGTCAAATGATCACCAAAAATATGTTGTGTGGAAAAGTATGAATATCAGTTGTGTCAGCAGTGAATGGATGAGTGTGTGTGTGTGTGTGTGGTCAGGATAAACCAAAAAGACACAAAACAAACCCAGTCAGACGCTGACTTAGGAGGAGAGAGAACAAAAGACTGATCAGTCCTGGCTAAATAAGCTCTGAAGAGAGCTGCACAGGTGATTGCCCAATCAGCCTCCCTGCCTGCAGCCTCCTGCAGGAGAAGGAAGCAGGAAGGGGGAGGGGTCGTAACATCTCTCACCCACAGTGACTGACGGAGACCCCAAATTCTTGTCGGTGTGTTTGTGACAATGACGAGTTTCATCTCCTTAAAAGAAGAAGAAGAGGAAGTTGACGTGTGAAGATTGTTGGTTAAGATAAATGTTGTTTTCTTCAGAACGTGTCACCCAGTGCAGCAGTGAAGGTCACTGACTGGTTTTAATAGTACTTTTCGTGGGATTTGTTGACAGTCCTACTGGCTTGCTGCTAACTGATGGCTTCAGTAAACAAACACAGATGATTTCACAGTGTGAGATGCAGAGAACTTAAAGTTTGACTTGTTGCAGTTGATGAAACTTCCCTCGATCTAAAACAACTCAGTGTTCAGGAGCATTATATTATGTCCCAGTCAGGACCTGCACAATAACATTAATCAGCCCCTACTGGCCTGAAGGGGAAAATATCCAGATTCAATACTAACCTGACCAAAACACACACATCTGTTGTTTTCATACAAGACATTTTGACACAGCACAGCAGGAAAACAGATTTAAATTGAACAATTAATGATGGCTGGATTCCATTTAGCTGCTTCAGTTTCAGAGTCCTGACAATTAAACACGTCTGCTGTGAAAAAGATCTAAAGGCTCCAACAGTCGTCATGCAGAGCTGCTTCTGAACCGGTCTAACAACCAGACGTGTTTTAAAGCAGATAAAAACACTTAAGTTTTAGTTTCATCTAGTGGGTAACTAAAACTCAGATCGTCCCATTTCCCGAGTTGTGAAGTCATTCTTCTGAGTTTTTCTGTGTTCATGTGCTCTTAAGTCTGAATGTGGAATCAACATGTCATTTACACTGGGGACATGTGTCCCCACCACATTTTGAAATGGCTGATTTTGTCCACATCACTTTTTGAGAGCATTTGTTAATAATGTTCTGAAAAATAGCTTGCACCAAGAAATGTGAACTAACAAATAAAAATGCTTTGAGAAACGTTTATTTGCAATTTAAATATAGAAAAAACAAACGTGCATTGTCCAAAAATTGCAGCTTAATACTGCATCATATTCTGTTATATTTTTATACATTTACACCTTTAATTTCTTTTATACTATTACAGCAGTGGGTTTAATTTTTATTAGGGTTTTATGCACAGCTCCTCTTCAGTTTATCTTTGATTTAATTAATTTAAATGGTCGGGGGGGCAGACGCCGTCACTATGAAGTTTTGGTAAAAGCTGAAATGGAAGCGCAGAGAAGTGTGTAACACTCTGTCTCCTTAAGGGGGCGTTCAAGTTGGAATTTACGACTGGAAACTGGGAAAATCCAACTTCATGTGTCAAATGCAGCATTATTACCTGCTGTTCTGACTCTGCCTGCCTGGATCAAGTAAAACTGAACTTGGTCTTTATATTTCCTGTCTCTGACTCGTAGGAACGGCTTCACCACTGCCAGTTTCCTCTGAAACATGACAGTTAGAATAAACTATATTTAGATTCACACTGAGCCTCAAGTTCACACTTTGTATTTGTGACAATGACCCGTTTCACCACATGAAAGGAAGACGAAGAAGAAGAAGGTGCAAAGAGCTCTGGAGGTGTTAAACCTCTACAGAAATATAGATGTTAAAATGACTGCATTTCAAACAATAACAGCTGATACAGAAATAACAGTAAAAACTAATACATGTTTAACTACAACACAGCACTAGCACATTAAAGTGCCTGACAGCAAGTTCATCAAGCTAAATGTCCCATATATTATCATAAAATAATTCAAATAATAAAACATTTATCAGTTCTCAGTGTAAATTACCTGTAATGATATGAGCTGTAACTACACTGTGGTCTCTTATTTGTTTGGTTAGTTGACGGTGGCGTAGAGGTCGCTGGGATCAGCTGAGGCTCCAGCAGAAGAAGAGGAAGCTTTCACGCTGCTGTAGATCACTGCATCATCTTCATCATCACCATCTTTACCCAGAACCTGGAAAAGAGACAAACAGCACAACACAGAAATTACACAACATTAAATGAGAGAAGTGTTTTCATTCACTGCCATCATCACTAGAACCAATCAGACAGCTTACCCGGCCTTTACTGTTGGTCTTCCTGGTGTAGCTGATGGAGGCGTAGGAAACACCATCTTCAGGATCAGCCTACACAGAGAAGACAACATAATGGCTGCTCAGTAACATGTGGACTTGATTGTGTTCTGGTCTGTTCTGGTGTCGTCCAGCTGCATCATCAGACTCCCCACTTCTTCTCTTGCAGAAAGAACTTAGATTCAAGAGTCACTGTGTGTCTCATAGAGCTACATTTTGAACAACAAATCTAAAAACAGTGAGTGTCACTTTGTCCTGGGTGTAGTGTGAGATCTCACCGTGTCCTGACTGCTTTCTGGACTCACTGCAGGGTTTAAGCTCCGTCCCTGAAAACAACAAACAAACAGAGTCTACTTCCATGTGGTCAAACACTGACTCTGTGAAGGCTGTTTAGATTTGGATGACTCTGTCAGAGAGCAGCTGATTCAGCTCTGTCATAACTGTAGAAACATTTGATTACTCAGCCGTAAAACTCACAGTGTTTTCATCCATCTGGGGTTTTTTTCCTGAAGAGACAAAAGAGAGTCGACTTTTCAACAATAAAAATCCAGGTTCATCAAAACTTCTTGTTTATAATATCTGTGGTTGCTCTCACCTTTAGTTTTCTTCCATCTGATGAGAGCAACAACAATAACAACAGTTATTAAGAGAGCTGCAACTGCAACAAACCACCACCAACCTGGAAAGACAATAAAACAGGACATCTTATTGGTGATTTTGTTATTTTGTGCTGTGTGAACACGTCTGACTGAATAAGAGAATATCTCCACCCACAGCCGAGTTTCACTCTGACATTCAGACTTTAGACTCAGAAGAGAGAGAGAGAGAGAGAGAGAGAGAGAGAGAGAGAGAGAGATTTGATTTTCAAAACCCTTTTTAATTGCAATATACACAATAACTATTACAAACTGCCAAACAACATCATTAATTTAAAGACCAATAAAAAATCTTAAAAGATAGAAAACAGCAACTTTTCTTCAACAATTTCACTTATTTAGACACCATCTTACCTCAAAGGATAAAAAATCATGCATTAATCTATAATAATGATAATCAATCAAAATCCTAGATTTGACTAATTTTATAAAAATTGCTACCAAACTGTTACAAACATTTTGCTCAATTTTTTCTTTCCTTGTGGTATAAATCACCATTTTTGCCTGACCTATCAAGAAATTCAACAACTGACACTTATGACGAAAATTTCTTCACATATTTAAATCCACAAATAAACACTTTCATTGAAAAAACTCATTAAAAGAATCAAAACATTTTCTCTAAATATCAAATAAAGGTTTTAACCTCCCACAGTGCATAAAAGCATGAAAAATAGTCTCTTTTTCCAAACAAAAGGGCAGCCTTCAGTCACTTCAGAATTGATCAAGGAGACGAATGCATTTACTGCAATAGCACCATGTAACACTCTCCACTGTAAATCCCCAGTTTTTTTGATTAATGGTGACTTATACAAGGCTCTCCATTCTGGCTTTCATCGACAGCAAGATTAAGTATATTTCGCCATGGTGTATCACACTTGTTATCTAAAC